GAGCCCCGCTCGGCGCAGAGCTTGCCCTCTCCCTCGGCTGCGCGTAACGAGGCGTCCGGCATCGCTTCTGCGGAGCGCAGCTCTCTGCAGCTGTTGGTTGTGTCCCGCCTTCAGTTGCGCTTGAAAGCCCTCCTCGTACCATAAGCCCGTTGGCCTGGTAATGCATGAAGTAAGCTATAGATTTTGTCTGGCTTGAGTGCGGCAAACAAAAGTAAACGTGCTCCTGCTCTTGCTTACAGTCTGTTCGTATAATTGTGAGGTGTGTGTTTTGAACAGCAGAGAAAGAACGATCTTGCTCTGCTCTTAGGAAGAGGGATTCAGTTTTGTAACTTTTTTGTTTGAGATCTTAACCCAGTCATTAAACTCCGTATGAGGCAGTCTTGCAGGGACAGGGAGGGTCTACTTTGGAGAGGTAGACCAAGAGTTTGTTTCTCTTATATTGCTAATGATTTTACTGTAATCTTCTCTTGCAGAGAGATGCAAAGTTGATAATAAGAGGCAGGAGTGAGGTTTCTGAAAGCGTAAGCTATAAATGGTATGCAGGTGAGTAAAAAGCAGTACCTCCTGTTGTAAACTGTAGAAATGTGACTGTTTGTCTGGTGCCATGATTTGTGTTGTGCTAACAGACCGGGAGACATTGATGCACAGCAAGACTTCTGTTTTGTATGTGTTTCTGTGAGTAGGAGTTAGTTTTAATGGAAAAAAATAGGTGCCAGAAGGATCAATGGTGCTGTTCCTGAGGTTTAAATCTTTCTGATTAGGTGCCATTCTGAAACATTCAGGACATCTTAAATCTTATGCAAGAAAGATGTGTTCCCTATATAGAGAAAGGAACTGGCCGTCAGTGTTTTTAGTGGTAGGTCACCCGGAAGCAGTGCATAGTACTTCCTTTGGGAAGCTGCCTAAAGCCAGGCAAAAAAGATGACCACAGTAGTAGGCACAACTTACGTTTTATCCCTCTTCAGTGTTAGTTAGGGCTGCAGGGAGGTGTTTTCTGCTGGAGGCCGTCAGCTCAGAACCCTTTCCTGAAAGTCATTTTCCTTCATAAAACAAGTAGAATTTACCTTTCTCTTTTATTATAAAGAAAAGTGAGAAACGGGGGGGGGGGGGTCGGTTTGGTGAGGCTAGTATTTGTCGTATCAGTGTTTGGTACTGCTTTTACTGGGATGTTTGAAAATACTTTTTTTTTCTTTCCTTTAAAAGGAAAAGTCATGTGTTTACAGAGTTATCTCTTCTTCCTCCTGCCTAAGATGTTCTGCTGAGTTTTTACTACAGGGGTAAACAACTTCTGTAAAATTGGAATGGCAAGGCTTTATATTCAGCTTGGAAGGTGGATTGTTTTATTGCTAGCCACTTCATACGTGCTTGGGATAAGAGCTGTCACTGTAGTTCTGTTGGATAATTTTTGCAGGTTGAGCAGGACCTTGTTTTAAGAATTTAGAAAGCTTCACTTGCAGTAGAATTTCTAAAATCAAGTATATGTTTTGTCCAGTCTAAGCTTGTGGTCTTATCCACTGACTTTGCATTTGACAAATGTTGACTAACCTATTCATCGGTTAGAATAGTGGTTTATTTCACAGAATTTCTTGGTTAAATGATGGGCATACTTTTTAAACAATGTGTAGTCACAGATCTGTTGATGAGTCCACATTTGAAGAAACGGGAAGCTGATCCTGAAGACAATGTTAAGTGAAGGTCTGAGCAGTGTTTACAGGGTCTGAAGATATTTAAGCTGTCGGAACTAGAATGTTTCAGAATTCTGTGAGTTAACACGCTACAAAAGGCATTTGATGAAGCTGTTACTTAATGGACACTGCAGACGTGTTTGCGGATAATATATTCCGTATGTACTTTTCACAATTATGAAAGCTTATACTGTAGCCCTGCATGTTAGTGTAATTCAGTCAGCTTAAGCAGCAAAGCACAGAGGTGCACGTGATTGGTTTGAGAAAGTGATACACGGAGAAAAAGCAAGATTAGTAGGGGTATTTGATAACTGCTGCACTAAAAAGAAACAGAAAGAAACATATTGAAAATACTTTTGCCGTATATAGAAACTCATTATAACTGCAAGTCTAAAGCAGTGAAACTGTGATTTGGATCTCCCTTGAAGAGAAGAGCCATTGAACTTGTTAGTGGCTCCTAAACCTCTCTAGAAACTTTGAATAGTCTGTTTCAGGATAAAACACATCAGAGATCCATTTGTAGTATTAGCAGAGATGATAAAAGTAACATGAATTGCCTTTTTTGTTTCTTTTAGCAGAATACCAAGATCCTTCTGGTCTCTTCTTCCCCTGTCTATTTTGAGAACCACTGTCTGATTATGAACTATTCTTAAGTGATAAAATCAGACTGTAGTCATAAGAGCTAGTCCGGAGATGCTTTTTTTTTTTTTCCTTAGGTGTTACCTGAACACGTCTTTACAAAGAGAAAAATTTGCCAAGTGTATCCCACCTACAAAAACCATGAAGCTGTTAAATTTTTAGTGTAGAATTTACCCAGAAATGTAAGACTATGCTATTAAAATATTTTGCAAACAAATTTCATGTGAGAAATTAGCTGCTATAGAAAAATATAGAAGATCATCAGACTGATCTTACTCCTTTGCCTTGCAGAAAGAATGGAATCTTTGGCTCCCTCACCAAACACTTTAGATTTGCACCTGAAGATAACTCGTATAGAATGCCATCCGGAGTGTTTGCTAGTAGCGTTTCAGGGTCAGTACAAGGAGGGATGTGAATTTGACTACAACATACTACAGAATGAAATTGAACGTGTATTCAAAGTACAAGAGAATGTTGATATTGGTGGATCGTGTTTGGTGGAAGACACAGAAGGAAAATGGCATAGAGGAAAAGTTTTGGAAAAGAAAGAGACTGTCTATGAGGTCTTTCTTATAGATAGTGGGCAAGTACTAGTGGTTGATGAAATACATATTGCTTCTGCTTGTGGTGAATTGTTTCAGCTTCCTCCAAAGATGGTTTATGGAGTTTTTGCAAACATACTTCCTCTTGGAGAAAAATGGGGTCCAAAAGCTATGAACTACTTCTCATCTCTGGTAGGATTACAGATTGCAGGTCACGTGAAGGCTGTTTTACCATACCAGCTGTTTGTTCTGGAAGTATCAAAGGTGGTTAGTGATATTGCTGAACTGCAGTTAGGAAAACTTATTGATGGAGATTCATTTTGTCTTATCGTAGAAACGTTAAAAGCATTACCCCAAGAAATGCATTGTAAGCGAGTGCCACAATTGTTGAAACAGAAGTATGCGGTCCGGCAGTTGCTTACGTTTAGTACTTCCGAGAAACCATCCTATTTTCGTCCAGTTCCAGGTAATCTTTTGCCGCTTCTACCTGTTGGCAGTAAAGAAAACGTAAAAATAACTGTTGCAATAAGTCCAAATAAATTCTATTGTCAGATACAGAAATGGCAGAAAGAACTGGAGGATTTGACAGGAGCAATGCATTTGTACTATGAAGCTATGAGCAGAGAAAGTAATACATCAGTGGATAGTTTAGGGTTACTTTGTGCTGCCAGAAGACAAAATGGACAGTGGCATAGAGGAGTGATACAACAACTTCTCTCTGACCATGTGGAAGTCTGGTTTATGGATTTTGGCAATATTGAAACTGTGCCATCTAGCTGTGTTTGGAAACTTAAAGAAGAGTTCATGTCACTACCAATGATTTCATTTCCTTGTGCACTGTCTTGTTTTGGTAATCAGGATGAAGCAGTAATAAAGCTGCAGCTGAAAGAATTTATAGAGGCCTTGATAGGACAGACTTCTGTGTGTGCTTGTGTCGATTTATTTAATGCCAGTAAACACTTGTATTATATTACATTGCAAAATCAAAAATTGGGAATGAATGCTAAACATCCAGCTCAAGTGAATGAGGCAGCTGCATTGTGTCTCTCATCTTCTGATACAAAAATCACAAGTATTGCGGTAAACTACAAAACGCGTGATGAGAACTACCGTTCATTTACGAATTGTACTGGAAATAAACTGACAAACTGCTTAACTGAAGGCAGTTCTTTTTCAAGACACTGTAAAAGGGTAGAAATGAAAATGAATTCTTCCCATGTTGCTTTTGTGGTTTATGTAATAAATCCATCAAACTTCTGGATTCAAACAAATGACTATCAGAATGAATTTCATGCCTTGATGAAAAATATTGCAGAGGTATATAACAGATGTGGTACGCATGAAAGGGTCCTTAAAAACCCTGAGCCTGGATTACTGTGCTGTGCCCGGTATAGCAAAGATATGCGCTATTATCGGGGTGTTGTCACTGAAGTGCTTTGTGTCAACGTTATTGTTTACTTTTTGGACTTTGGAAATACAGATACCGTACCCTGTTGTGATGTGAAAACATTGCTTCCAGAGTTTTCTGATTTACCAGCTTTAGCTATGTGTTGTGCACTTGCATACACGTTTCCCATTGAGGATGTGTGGGTTAAAAAGGAAACTGATTTCTTCAAAGAGATTGTGTTTAGCAAACCAATTTTGCTTCATGTGGTTGGAATGCAAAACAACAAGTATATTGTTAATGCACAGCGTATGGATGATTTAGAGGGACGTAATGTTGCCATGTGCATGGTTCAGGCTGGATGTGCAGAATACTGGGAAGGGAGACCACGTTCTCTTCTAAATCTAGGAAAAAATTCTCGAGTCCGGAATCACCGCAAGTTAAAAAAAAAAGTGTGTATGCACAGAGCAACTGCAATAAACATAAAAATAAAGTATCGGGAAATGGACAGAGCTTCCAAAATGAGAAGTCTTTAAGTGCCCCTCCTGTGCTGAGAGAATCTGTCGTGCCCTCTTATTTTGGAAGGGATACTATTTCTAAGAGGCATCAATTAGTACCTGAGAAAAATATATCTTACAAAGAGTTTGTGTTTAAACCAGGAGCTGTTTTTGAGGTGGTATGTTCCTGTATTGATTCCCCAGCAGATTTTTCATGTCAGTTGCAAAGCAAACTGCCGGAGCTGAATAACTTGATGGAACAAATTCAGACCTACTATAAAGTACATACTAGCCCTTACAAAACTGGGCAGGCTGCCTGTATTGTTAAATGCCCCAAAGATGGGAGGTGGTACAGAGCGACTGTTGTGCAGCAAGTATCTGCAGATGAAGTTGATGTGGTTTTTGTAGACTTCGGTAATCGAGAAAGAGTCTTACTTAAAGATATTCAAGCTATTCTTCCAGACTTCCTCACTCTGGAAAGTCAAGCATTTAGATGTAGTCTTAAAAATGGACCCTTGCAGATTAACGCACTTAACTGGTCTGAAGAGGTGTGCAGACATTTTGAAGACTTCATTTCTGCTTCTCAAGGACCACTGTTTTGTGTAATTTATGCTCTAATTCTTGTAAACCCAAACTGCCTGTATAATATAGTTGACTTGCAGACACCTTTTGTTAGTGCAGAAGAGTTTCTGAGAGAACGTGGTCACCGCCAGTCTGAATGTGTTGGATTGAGAAAACGTGCATCTTTGAGTTCTCTGTACAGTTTTTGCTACTCATCTTTTAATATAAAAATTGGAAGTGAGGAGGAGGTTTATATAACTCATATACATAGTCCTTCAAAATTCTATTGTCAGCTTAATCGAAACACTGAAACTATAGAGGCATTGATGAAGAAGGTTAGTGAAATAAGTCAAATGCCAAATCATGCAAAATATGATACCAGCAATACACGATTATGTATAGCCAGATATTTTGAGGATGGTCTCTTCTATAGAGCTTTGGCTTTTCCTATGGAATCATCATCCTATTTATTAGCTGACTTTGTGGATTTTGGAAATAAACATATGGTAGAGAGAGACCAGTTGATGCCTATTCCAGAGTTTGCCACCGACCTGCTGTTAACACCCATGCAAGCTATTAAATGTTGTCTCTCAAATCTTAGGGAGACAGAAATTCCAGTGAAAGTCAATAGATGGTTTGAGGAGACTTTCCTTGGTAAGCTGCTGAAGGCTGTAATTATATCCAGAGAACCAGATGGCCAGGTTGTTATGGAGTTGTATGATGGACAGCTCCAAGTAAGTCAGAAAATTAGAGAAAAAATTTTAGAAGAATTGGCACTTGTGAAAAATTATACAGAACAGTTTGTTGGAAATTATAGAGTGGTACAGCACATAGAAAATAACAAAGAAATTGAAAAAATAAATGTAGAAGATCCTGAAAGAACCAGATTGAGAACTGAAGTGAAACGTGAAGTGTATGATGTGTGTTATCAGACAAACAGCGGGCGAAATCTTGAAGGTGAAGAGCAGACCGCATGTAACACACACGATTTGTGTAGCAAGTCCTTGAAACCATTGACTTCCCAGGACAGTGAAGAGCCAGGCTTTAGAAATGGTGTCAATGCTCTGCTGGAGCACCAAGAGAAACTTGTAGATGAAAAGCCTGCTTCTCACTCGCTGTGTCAGCCTGCTTTAAATTTAAAGGAAGTAACTGTAAATGCTCTCTTTGAATTTTTTACTGAAAG